GTGCTTGCTCATAGGGGGTCATATGATTGTTGGGTTTTTCCTCTGTATGTATTGTTGTAGGATCTGCCTTATAATATAAAGCGCTTTGAGGCGACTGTGTGACTTGGCGCTTTATAAATAAATTTGGACAGAATTGAATTGAATGAATATCTCTTTTAATCCAGATCAGATTTTTTTTCTTCTCAGAGTTTCTATGAGAAAACCGTGTGACACCCTCCATGGAGTTAGCGCATCTCCAGTCCGGCCACCCTGACATTAAGGGTCTGAGTGATGAAGAGCAGCAGGTTCTCCATGGAAACAACAACAGCTATGACTGGGTAGCTTGGACTGCATGTGTTTCTGCCTCATTAACATGTACTGAGACAAACTTATCTCCTACCTGCAGATCCCATCTTCTTCTCCTCTACAGGTCCATCCATCCTTACAACATAAACCTAAGGATGATCCAGTGGGAACTCTAATGCAGAGGTGGATGTCGGTAGAACTGCTGAATGCTCTGATGAGCAGGAAGATGAAGTGCTGATCTCAGCTGAACACCTGTGGGAGATTTTGGAGTGACATGTTAGACAGCATGTTCCACCAGCACCATTATCCAAACACAAAGTAAGCCCACAGGGGTTTTTATTTTAATGGCATTCACACACCAAGAGAGTTCAGATACTTTTAAGTGAGCACCATTGAGGCCTGAAACTGGTCTATACATCCCTCCATTCATAATAATGGACTGCATTCATATAGTGCTTTTCTAGACACTCAAAGTGCTTTACAGCACCACTATTCATTCACTCTCACATCACACACTGGTGGAATGTGAGAGTGGTGGAGGCAAATCACAGTTGTAGCCACAGCTGCGCTGGGGCAGACTGGCAGAAGAGAGGCTGCCATATCGCGCCATCGGCCCCTCTGGCCAACACCAGTAGGTGGTTGGGTGAAGGACACAATGACCAGGACAGACAGAGCTGGGAATCGGACAAGCAACCTTCCGGTTACAAGATGAGCTTCCCAACCGCCTGAACCATGGTCGCTCCATCCATCCATCCATCCATATAATCCAGTGTCCCTTCAGTTATTGTTACTAAGTCCTTATCTTTTTCTTTTTTATGTTTTTAGTTCTTGCCTACCCCGGGCTGTGGAACATCAGTGCCTGAAGACATTAAAATGACTTTAGCTAATAACATGGACCCCCGACCTCCTCCTGCTCCCACATCAGCAAATGAAAATTCCATCCATCCATCTTCTTCCGCTTTATCCGGGGCCGGGAATTGGCAGGTCATCCCCATCATCCCCAGACTCTGCTTCCTCCTCGGATGAGGTGGGATTGTCAGTGGGATTAAAGAGGTCCTCGAAGTATTCCTTCCACCGCAATTTTCTCAGTCAAAGTCAGCAGCTCTCAGCCAACTATACACAGTGCAGGTAGAGCACCGCTTTCCCCTCCTGAGACGCCTGACGGTTTGCTAGAATCTCTTCGAGGCAGTCTGAAAGTCTTTTTCCATGGCCTCTCTGAACTCCTCCCACACCCGAGTTTTTGCTTCAGCCACTGCCCGAGCCGCATTCTGCTAGGCCTGTCGGTACCTGTCAGCTGCCTCCAAAGTCCCACAGGCTAGCTAAGCCCAATAGGACTCCTTCTTCAGCCTGGTGGCTTTCTTCACCTCTGGTGTCCACCATTTGGTTCGGGTGTTACCACCACGACAGGCACCAACCACCTTCCGGCTGCAGCTCAATGCAGCAGCTTCGGCAATGGAGACGCTGAACATGGTTTGATTGATTGATTGAATCTTTATTTTGAACATTTTGAAAAAGTACAAAAAAATAGAATTAAAAGAGACAAATGAACAAAGCAAAACAAAAGGAAAACGAGCAACCACAACATGTTCCATTCAGACTCAATGTCCCCAGTCTCCCTCGGAATGCTATTGAAGCTCTGCCGGAGGTGTGCGTTGAAGACCTCGCGGACTGGGGCTTCTGCTAGGCGTTCCCAGCAAATGAAAATTCAAAGATTTAAATAATCTGACACGAGGCGGAAAAACAATCCAGAAACAACAGGAATCTGCAAACCTCTCAAATTTGAATTACCTGAGAAGCTTTGGTAGTATGTTAACTCATTCACTGCCAGCCATTGGCAGTGAATGAGTTAAACCCATTGACTCATTCACTGCAATTGACGGCTATAGACGTCAATGGCAGTGAATGAGTTAACTGGAACCATAGTCTGGAAGGAGAAATCCCGGTCTCCATAATAATTAGGTTATCGCAGAAGAAACCCTCAGATATGTCAGGAGAAGAGTGGTTTAACCTGCTTTCAGTTTAAGATCAATGAAATGTGTTCAAGTAAAGCAAACGGTGTACCTATTTTTGCTGCGCCTGTTCTGGATCTGTCCTGTGATGTTTGGAAAGCCTGATCTGGATTCATTATGATGAATATTTACTGTGTGCTGGGATAATGTGACTGTTCACATCAACAATAACAGAAAGGGTTCATCAGGAAGGTAACATATCCACAAAGCCAAAGGTCGCCACTCCAACCCTTCATTTATAACGTTTAACGTGAACATCTGTCTATGATGTTTCAGGGACTCTTTGATCAAACATATCCATGCTGATTGTCCTCAGCATTACTGTTTTACTGCTGCTTCATTTCTGGAAGTGAAACTTCAGATCTGAGTGGTTTTCTGATAAAGTTCACTTTAGCCTCTCATGTTTGACAGCTGGAGTGTTGTTTATGGTAAAGTGTCAGTAGTCTGTGGTCTCAGTGAGCACTGAGCTTGGTTTGCTGCTGTT